ATTGGCAGAGTTTGAAATTGGTACCTAATACTGTAGTGGATCATAAAAATGAAATTCTCCTATAGCACACTCTCCAAACTCCTAAATGCTCACAAAATTTATAAAGCACTTGGAGGTTACATAGTAAAGAAACTATTCAACTGAGAAGATTATGCACTGACTTCACAAGTCAGATACTGGAGCAAAGGTAGATTTGTTTTACCATCAATTTACAGAAATTAGAGACCAGGAAACACACACACACACACACACACACACACACACACACACACACACACTGAAATCTGTCTCTTATAATAAGAGGTTTTATCAAGTACATCCCAGAATCTCAGAGGAGAAACAATTTCTATTCCCCAGGAACACAGTTATGTTCCATGAAAATCAGTTTTAGTATTAAACTGAATAAAATAAAAATGGTCTGAAAACTGAAAAGAGCCAAATATTAAGCGTTTCTTCTGCCTCTATGGCATAAATTCATCATTCACATGAATTGGATGGAATAGGGTCCAGAAGCTGAAGTTACTTGAGTTATTTTGAGGCCAATTTTAGATGCGAAAAAAAAATTGCTACCAAATTTTGAGAGGACAGGAAAGTTTCTAACTTCAGGTTTATCAAAATTTAATGCTGTTTCTCTAACAAAGAGGCTGCCTCACCCAATCTTTAGTTTCTATTGTTAAAAAACAAAGTTTTTTGATTTGGAAACCAACCAGGCTAGCTAGTTTCTCCCACCCTTCCCGTCTTTAAATATGACAACCAGGGGATCCCTGGGTGGCTCAGTGGTTTAGTGCCTGCCTTCAGCCCAGGGCATGATCCTGGAGTCTCTGGATCGAGTCCCTCATTGGGCTCCCTGCATGGAGCCTGCTTCTCCCTCTGCCTGTGTCTCTGCCTCTCTCTCCCCCTGTGTCTCTCATGAATAAATAAATAAAATCTTTAAAAAAAAAAAAACAAAAACAAATATGACAACCACCTAAAACAAAACTCACAAGTCCCAAATTGCCCAATAAACCCAAAAGAAAAAAAAAAAATCCAAAAGTTAAAAGAAAGAGGTAAAGTTATTCATCATTGGCATAACACAGACACCCTTACCTAAAAGCTTCTAGTAATATTTCTTCACCAATGGGGAATGGATTTCTAGGAATGTGCTGTTTTTAACAAAATTCCCCTATAAGACAGATGTCTCAAAGAGTCAAAGGCAAACTCTGACCTAAAATTAACTGGCATTTCCACAAGATCTATTTCAAATTAGTTTTTGCTTAAATGATAACATTGTTTCTCATGATTTTCATCTCTAGACACAGTAGCCGATTTAAGGTAGTTGAAAGCAGTGCGTGCATAATAAAAACAGTAGACAATGATTCCATGTAATCTATCTATATTTAAATCTCTGGAGTAAAATCCACATCATAAGCAAGCACTGAAATATGTGTTTAAAAGTATATGAAGTGGGCAACCCAGGTGGCGCAGCGGTTTAGCGCCGCCTTCAGCCCAGGGCCTGATCCTGGAGACCCGGGATCGAGTCCCACATCAGGCTCCTACTGAAGCCTGCTTCTCCCTCTGCCTGTGTCTCTGCCTCTCTCTCTCCCTCTCTGTGTCTCGAATGAATAAATAAATAAATAGAAATCTTAAATAAATAAATAATAAGTAAATAAATAAATAAAGTATATGAAGAGGTGAACATTCATAGTCTGGAGAATTTTAGAACAAAATTAACTACTCCTATCATTAATCAGAAAAGAAACTGCTTAAAAATATGCTCTGAAAAAAAAAATCAAAGAAACCAATTCTGGTTACAGGACTAGATCATGAAACAATTTCATCAGAGGTCCAAAGTTCAACTTCCTTTACTACTGTGAAACTACAAAGTTCAAATTCAATGGAAAACTTTTCTCTTTGCAGACAAAAAGAAGAAGAAGAAGAAGAAGAAGAAGAAGAAGAAGAAGAAGAAGAAGAACGACGAAAAGAAAAAAGACAGAATTGTAATTAAGAAACAGCTGACCAGTTGGGCCAAGAAAGAGGTGAAACTAAAGACTGTCCTAGAAGCAGGAATGTACTGATTGCTACATACTATGTGAACACTAAGCAAGAATAAGATTCCAATAAGAAATCCCCTAAATCTCTCAAGAAAAGCCTAGGATTAGGAACCATATTTTAAAGAGTTAATTTTGTTGTAATCTTTAATGGAATCTGCAAGAAAAAGAAAATACTAAAAGCCCCAAATCAAAGATCAAAGACAAACACTGCCAGAAATAACTTAAGTCATCCAGGTGTTGATGCTGGCTTTGGCTGAGTTCCCCTTAGCTCATACAAGACAAAAATGAGAAAGCTAGGAAGGTTCCACACTCATCCTTTTGCCACGGACTTTGTCAGAAAACAACGAATGTGAGATAATTCCCCACGCATATTACATCTCAGAGAACTGCTAAATTTACTCTTGCACTGTACTAGTTTCTAAATGACATGTTATAGATACAGTTTAACCAGGAGTTACTAAATCAAGACAAGAGACAGTGTTAAAGTACACTTTACAATTCCATATTAAAATGGAAAATCCATTTCTCTCACAAAGTTTAGATAAAATGAAAAAAAATGAGCAAAGCACATTCCTTTTTAAATTTCCTTGCTTTGTATTTTCATACTTTTCAAATTTAATCCTAACAGTACAGAATCCTTGTCTCCTCTGGAGATGGTGTATATATGCCCCCAAAGTTCTAGGAATAACCTCCTCTAGTTCCTTAATATTTGAAGTCTTGTGCTTCATTGCAAAAACCTTGCTATTTTATAACAAATGTTGTTTAAGCAGAGCCATTTAAGAAAGCCAATTCATGTCATGCTTAACATGAAGCTATTACGAAACTAAGAACACCATTCTTTGAGAAATCAACCTTTTTAAATTACAATTTACTTAGAAACAATCTCAGATGACAGATCTGTAATCTCAGATGACACACAGTGGTTTCCTTTAGAAATTACTGAAGCGGAGCATATCTTTAAAGAAGTAAGTTTTATTATTAATGATCAGAAAACATGCTACACTCATTAATATAAATCATTCCCTTTTTTTTTTGGCTAAACATTTAAAGTACGAAAGTACTTATGGTTGTCAGGAGGGCAAAATGTTATTACTATAAAAATGTCAACTACATTCTGGGGCATGTGATGTTTATTCGACCCAGCTAATTGATATTACTGAATACACTCTAAACTTTGAATTATTTTCTCAAATTTGATATAAACCTTGAGAAAATATATAACATGCAATCAGACTAATGTATTAAAGATCTCCCCAGTCTTCTAAAAGAATCACAATGACTTGAGGATATACTGACTTCCTCAATCTATTAAATCTTAAACTATTTTTGAAAATAAGTTACATTCTCATTCATGCCCCTAACTAATCAAAACAAAACACAATGACGTAGATGTTCTCATTATTCCCTGACTCGTGGGATTTGAACTAAATGGCACCTACACTAGTAAACGGTGTATTATATAGTATTTTGCATATTACAGACAGTGCCTGACTGACTAAATGACAGCCCCCAAAATCTTTCTTCCACCTTTCACATATGGCTCAAAAAGTTTGAGTCCAGAATTCCTTAAATCGCAAAACTATACAAAAAAAAAAAAAAAAAGATGTTTAAGGTCTGCCAAAGTCTTTTTAAATTAACAATAAAGAAGAAACCCTTATGTAAACTGTAAGCTTAAAATGAATATGATGAAGTAGACCACATGAAGAAAATCTTAAGATTGCAGGGACATGTGAGTGTGTGTGTATACACCCACAATACTCACACATATGTATACTGCACCACAAACCATCAGTTCCCATTAAGCCCAAGGACTATGAAAGAGAGATCTCCAAAGTGAGCTGCTGAGAAAGAAAAAAACAATGTGAGGGAGAGAACACGTTAAATTTTTCTCCCGAATTTTCTAGCATTTTGCAGTGAAGGGGTGGACTGACTGCTCCAGCCCAAGTCACAATTAAACAGCCCATTATATTTTGATGCACTATGTAATTCGGTAGCTAGAGCAGCCTCTGCAAAATTGGCTTGATCTCTAATAACGTTATGATCACAACGTTACAAGCATCTCAGAAAACAGAACCACATTCTAGCCACTGCTGAGCCGACCACGAACGCCGTGGGTGACAAACACGTAAGGGCCACTGCACACTATCAGATTTCGCTGTACGCAGTCTGATCAATGCTTTGAAAGACAAACCTATAACGTGCTTTGCAGATTTGACTTGCATAAAAGACACCAGGGCAACGGGGGTCCATTTTACCCACCACTTCTACAAAATCTGTGTGAAATCGAAGACCCAGAAAAGATTTTACTCAGAAGCGGCACCCAGGTCTTCTTTCAAAGCCCAGACCACTCGACAGCCCCCCACAAGAACACACTACTCCGCCACGGATCACGTACTGCACAGCATCGACACCCAGACACCTGAGGCCACCTGAACTGAGAGGCTTAGGCTGTCAGCTCCAGGGTGCTGCTAGTGTGCAAGAAACGCCGACGCAGCTCAGCCCTCCTGGGTACACTGGGCGGTAACCTTGGCACCAAGTGCCTCGACAGTACAAAACCTCCGTCCCTGCTAGAGAATGCGTGCGGCGGTTCCAAAGAGTATGCCACAGTCATGAGGACCTTCTCTACAAAGGAGAGCTTAAAAGGCCGGTTTTTGTCTCTCTGGTCAAAAACTCTCCATAGGAGACGGGGCTACAAACCTAGGAAACCCCGTTTCTAGGGGCAATTCGAGAACAGCCTCGAATTCGAGAGCAGCCTCGCCGAGCCGGAGCTCAGTTTTCCCACCAGCGAAATGGGCAATCGCCACCGCCACCCTTCGCCCTCGCCAGGGAGTCCGGCGCACCCTGGAACCCCAAGATCACCCAGGGCGGCGAGCGACGGGGAGGGGCCGGAGGGGCCGTCGCCGCCGCCGCCGCCGCAACACCCACCCGGCTCCCCTCCAGACCCCGCGACAGAAAGCAGGGCCGGCGTACCTGGCTTCACCGTCTTGAGACGGATGGGCTCTCGGAAGTGGCGGATGACAGCCAGGGTGTCCCGGTGGGTGAGCCCGCTGACAGGCGTCCCGTTCACCTCCAGCAGCACATCCCCCGGGCCGGGCGCCTTGCCCGAGACGACGCAGCAGGTGCCGCCGCCGGGCTCCTCCCGGAGCCGCCCCAGGTAAGGGAACTCGCCGCGCTCCGCGCCGCCCCGGATCTCGGCGCCCAAGTCGCCCGGGGGCCCGGCCCAGGAAACCGCGCACTCCTGCACCTTGCTGAGCCAGTGCTTCTTCCTCTTCAGCGTCTTCGACATCCCGACCCCCGCTGCACCATGGGGAGACCCCGCGCGGGCGGCGGCGGCGCCGCTCCCGCCCCCTGTCAGCCGGGGGCCCGGCGGCCCGTGCGGCGCGTGCAGCCCGGCCAGGCGGCCCCGCCGCGCCCGCGCCCCCCACCCCGGCCGCAGCCCAAGCCCCGAGACGCCCCGAGACGCCCCGAGACGCCCCTCCCGGCCGCGCTCCCCGGGGCTACCGGGCTCCGCGAGGACCGCCCCGGGCGGGCGAGGCCGAAAACGGAGACGCGAGCAGCCCCCGGGCGGCTCCACAGGGGTTCCGGGCGGGGTCACGGCCGCCGGCGGGCCCCCGGGCTCCGCGCCGGAGCGGCGGGAACGGCAGGAGCAGGGGGCGGGGAGGCGGGCGAGGAGGGGCCGGGGCGAGAAAAATCCGTCGGGGGCGCGCAGAAGCGCGCGTAGACCGGTCGCAGGATCGATCGCGGCCGCTGCGGAGCCGGAGCGCGGAGACCAACGCCTGCCGGAGCTGCCAGGAAACTGCCGCCTCCAAACCCGCCGCAACCCCCTCCGCCTCCCTCTTCCCTTCCCCCGCCCTCGCCCTCGCCCTCGCCCTCGCCCTCGCCCTCCCCGGCCCTCAGCCGGAGCCCCGCCCCCTCCCGCCGCGCGGCGCCCGGCGCGCTGCCGTCACAGGCCCGGCGCCGGGACACCAGCCCCGGCTCTCGACTGCCTCGCCGGCGATTGGCCCCCGGCGGGCCGGGGGCGGGCCCTCGGCGAGAGTGCGGGCCGCCGATAGGTCGGGGGCAGTGGAGGAGGCGGGCACTGGGATGAGTGAAGTTTAAAGGGTGGAAAAAAAGTTTGAAGAGTGAGGGAGGGCGGAGGGAGGGCGGAGGCAGGGGCAGGGGCTGGGGCCTGGGGCCCGCCGCCCGCCGCCCGCCGCCCGCCCCCCGCGGCAGGGCGGAGGGAGGCCCCCCTGGCGGCGGCTGCAGCCCAGCCAAAACTCGGACAGGGAAAGCGGAAAGAACTCCGAGGTGGAGGCGTGGCCGGAGAGCCGGGCGGAGCCGGGGGTGGAGCTCGGAGCCGGCCCGGGACGCGGCCCGGGGAAGGTGTGCTAGGCTGGGGAGCCACCCGCACAGCCGAGGTCACAGCGCTGCCCGACGTGCCGAGGTCTCCAGGGAGGCCTCTCACGACCGATCCCTTGCACTCGCTGCGTGTGCTTGTTCGTTCGTGCGCTCATTCAAGAAATGTTATCGGACGCCCGTGACGGAAGGTAAAGCAGAGCCCTGAGTCCTGCTGTGTGACCTGGGGCAAGTCAGACAACCTCCCCGAACCGCTGCGTCCGCAGCTGCAAAGTGGAGATAATTGTACTCCTCCAAACTGTTGCGAGCGTGGCATTTAGTACATATAAAATATCTGCACGGCGCCTCACGGAAGGTGGGTGGTTCCTCCTTGGCAGCTGGTGATATTAACGATGACTTTATGTCAGAAATTGTGCTAGGTGCTGGGGTCCAAAGGTGAAGAGAATAGCTCTCAAGGAGATCGTAGTTCTGGTGGAGAGACCGACAAGTCCACAGGCCGCCCAAAATGAGGGGTGATGTGGAGGTAGAAGTCAGGACTAGAACTCGCCCAGGAACTAGCAGACCTGCGTGCTGCTTGCTGCTTGCTGCTTGACCTTGGCCGAATCTCAGCTTCAAGTTTATTCATCTGTAAAGGAGGCGGCGATGGGAGAGCAAACATTGAATAAAGAGCATCTCAGGTCCCTTTTTGCACTGATTTTTCAAAAAAAAAACTATTGAGCATTTTCATTCCCTCACTCTCTCCCCAGCTTTTTGTCTTGTAAAAATCCTATCCAGGGGCCCCTGCGGGGCTCAGTGGTTGAGAGTCTGCTTTCAGCTCAGGTCATGACCCCGGGGTCCTGAAATCGAGGGCGGCTGGTATCAGTCTCCCGCATGGAGCCTGCTTCTCCCTCTGTCTGTGTCCCTGCCTCTCTCTGTGTGTCTCTCGTGAATAAGTAAATAAGATCTTTGCAAATCCTATCCATCCCGAGTCCAAATGCCATCTCTTCCAGGTAGCCTTCTTTGATTCCTTGTCCTCAAAGTAGAAACCTTTCTCTGAGCAATGAGACTTTGTTTTACGTTTGCAGAGTGACTCCTAATTTCTTTTTTTTTTAACATATTTTTTATTCTTTTTTACTTACTTATGATAGTCACACAGAGAGAGAGAGAGAGAGGCAAAGACGCAGGCAGAGGGAGAAGCAGGCTCCATGCACCGGGAGCCCGACGTGGGACTCGATCCCGGGTCTCCAGGATCGCGCCCTGGGCCAAAGGCAGGCGCTAAACCGCTGCGCCACCCAGGGATCCCGAGTGACTCCTAATTTCATAGTTTCCTGCCTCCCTTTAATAATTGAGGAAAGCCCTTACTTACACAGTGAATAACTCCACCGAATCTCATCATGTGTCAGATAGAGTGGACCAAGTTTCAGCAACTGCAGTGATTTTGTTCATGCCACAGTATCAGTCAGAGCCTGACAGAAAACAAATGGTACTTTACAAAGATGTGGGCGGGCATGGGAAACCCCAAGGGTAGTGTGGAACCCCCAGGCTGTAAGCTCCTAGGTCTGCAGAAGAGGAAGGAACCAAAATTCAGCACGAAAAGGGCAGCCGGACAGGAATGTGTCAACTTCAATCAAGGGATGCAGTCGGCTTAAGTAATCGCCCCAGGATGATGCTGGAGGATTTCTATCTCACTTGTGCCTCCCTCTTCCGGTCTCCTGCTGGTGCATCCCAGTGGCCAAATCCACCCAGAAGCCAGAGGGCAAGAGAACCCTTTGCTGCAATCCGTCTCAGTCAGTCACACAGAGAAGAGGAAATTGTGCATCTAGAGAGAAAAGGGGGAAACATCTAGTACAGACACACAGATTGCTCAGATTTACCCAGATCTGAGACAAAGTTGGAGTATTTTTTCTGAAGCATTACCTAAGCTAACAGATTCCTGGATGAGATCTTGATAACCTCCACATCATCTACTTTCACAGCACCTCTTGGGGAAATGTCTTTTCCTGCCTGGATTGCATCCATTAGGATACTTTTGGCCATGAGGAACAAAATATTAACAGCTTCAAGAATAAGGTCATGTATTATATCTTTAACACAAGGTTCAGATGTTAAGTAATCTCAGGGTTAGTTTAGTAGCACGATCATGTCACTAAGGACCCAGTTCTTTTTGTGCCTGTTCTCTACCATCGTATGCATGTTAGCTTCTATCTCCAGGCTCATCACCTCTTGATTGCAATGTGGCTGCCACAGCTCCAGATAGGACATCCTCAGAGGTCACTGTACAAGCAGGAAGGCAAGGAAAGACAGTGCTGCTCCCATGTGTATGAAGGAGAAAATCTTTCCCAGACTGCACCCCCCACCCCAACCAATATAATCTCCCTTATTGGCCAGAAAATGGTCACATGCCCACTGTAGCCTAGTGGCAAAAAGAAAATGAGATTGCCACAGTTCATTAAATTGATCATGAGTCACCCCAAACAAAATAGGGGTTCTGTTTGAGAGGAGAAAGAATAAATGTCAAGTAGGCACCCGACAGTGTGTGCCGCATGCCTCAACCAAGAATACATTATCTTGACTCTTGGGCAGAAAACTGCAGTGATTAGGATCTTGTGCTCTGGAGTCAGACTGCAAATCCCAGTTTTTCTACTTACTAGTTCTATAATCTTGAGTAAACTATTTAACCTTACCTAAACTACATTTCTTCATCCTTGAAAGGAGTATAATAACAGTGCTCACCTGAGTTGTTGTGAGAACTGAATGGAGCTATTTGAATCAAGAAAGCACTTAACATATGATCTAGCATAAAAGCAAACATTCAGGAAATTAGTTTGTGCTAGTTGTATTCGTGACAAGGCAAAAAGCATTGTTCATCACCCTTGTAATTCTCTAAGTATTAAGTTCACCCATCTTAGTAAGTCTAGGTTCTACTTTTAAAATATTTTAGAAATAAACTGCCCCCTCCAGTGAATTAATTCTGGTAGGATATTGTTCTGGAAATCACTGCATAATTAAAAGAGTCACATTATGAGTGTCCATCTGTAAATTGGCACCTAACCAAATAACCAAATTCTATCTATGTTTATCACAGCTTCCTAAACTTATAGTTGGGCTAATAGTTATGATTTCCACCAAGGAGTATTAATAAGCCAAACAATATGGAAACTGGTTTAACAAAAATAAACGATACAGTTGAATTTGATGATCTCCAAGATTTCTTTGAGCTACTCCCAACCATCCATATGATAAACGTAGATAATGTTTCAAGATGCTGCTTACCACCTAGGTCCCAAGACAGCTATAGAGACACCAACACAAGTATCACAATGTCTAAAGACGAAAAGGAGAGAAGTGGTTGTCTCCTTTCCCCCATTTCTTTTTTGGAAACCAAGGAAACCTCTCCCCAGAGGCTCTGAGCAAGTCTTTCCCTCCAGCTTATTAATAGGACGAAATTGCCCAAATGCCCTTTCCTAAACTGAAGGTGCAAAAAGTAATGAAATATCCTTAACCGGTTTCACCCTTGGGTGCTCAAAAGGAGATCCAGCATCTTATAAACTGCACGGCTGCACAATATTTGAACTTGGGGCAAGGCAGCAGGGGGTGGGGGTGGTGAATGGTATTCTCTTAGCAAATATGAAGAAGGGAAGCCCGGCTTTTCGGTAAACAATCCATAGTGTCCTCCACAAACAGACTACACTAATTTGCTTCTAGTATACAATGTTTCTGACAAGGCAGGGGATGTGTTTTGTCTTATGATTTTGGACACAGTGTTCCTAACGAGAGCTAAATAAACCCTTCTACTTAGAAAAGTTCAGAATGGCAGGTAGAAATTCGTTTTTCTGATTTTTTAAAGTTTATTCATGAGAGAGACACACACACAGAGAGAGAGAGAGATGCAGAGACATAGGCAGTGAGAGAAGCAGGCTCCATGCAGGGAGCCCGACATGGGACTCAATCCCGGGTCTCCAGGATCACACCATGGGCCGAAGGCAGGCGCTAAACCGCTGAGCCACCCAGGGATCCCCCCCCCATTTTTCTGAAATGACTCATGCTTACCTACCGCCCTGTACAGTCTGAGGTGCCATGCACAGTTTCTGTGTGGAGGGCCCCAAGCCCATCACCCACACTGGCAACCGTGTGGTCAGCACCCCTGGAGTTGTGCTGGAGTTTGTGCCCAAGCAAGGCAAGTGCGGGGAGAAATCTTTTATTTCACTTGTTTTTATATCCTCAGTCATTTCTTCTGTGAAAACTTGAATCACTAGTAATCATAAATCAAATCATTATTTAGGTGAAGTCATTCTCAAGTATGATAGTGGCAGAGGGTGGGGGAGAAGAGGAGTATACAGATAAAACAAAGGTTTGCCTTCTATGTGGAGCATCAGAACATTCATCTTGTTTTTCTTCCCACAGATTATAATAAAATTACCTGGAATTTTAAAAATTCTGGTCAACAAAGTCTTTCACAGGTTCAGAAAACATCCATATTTACCTGTATTATGGAAACGACATATGTAATGTAGTCTAACATTAATAACCTAACTGAATTCAATATTGATGTTCCATTATATCTTTACACTTTATTAGCATTTTTACTTGCTGAGGTCTGTGAGCTAATTTGTATGCTAAAGTTAAAATTGCTCAATTACAAAAGCAGTTACACGGAAGATTGTATTTCAGTTAAACAGACTATTGTCTAAAATCTGTATTACTAAAAAATTAAAATAATAAAAAAATAAAATCTGTATCACTTACTATGTTTCATATATAAACATGCAGTTTTGCCCATGGACGCATTCACCTGCAAATGACTAAATGAATCCAGCCCAAATCACAGAACAATAGAAACATTCAAAACCGAGTGCAGTGCCAACATGCTTTGAAAGGGGGTTAGTTAAGCAGTCAGATGTCAAGTTCCTCTAGCAAAGCAGGACAAAGAGAACATTGAAGGAAATAGAAAATACCAAAATACCTATCTTTCAGCTTTCAGCTTAAATACAATCTCCTACTCAAGGCCAGCCTTGATTTTCTATAGCTGGATGTCAGCTCTTCCTTCTCCAGAACTAAAAGCATGCTATCTCTATGTGTTTTCTTTTCCAGTAGACCTCATGATCCTTAAGAGCAAGATCTCACCCTGATTTGTTTGTGTCTCTCCCATAGGTCTGGGTACTTTGTCTTTAGTATAGTTAACACACATTTATTCAAAAAATAAAGTGCCCAT